GGGCTTGGGATACGCCGTTACCACCGGCATGAAAAAGTTATTAGATTATTGCCTTCCTGAGGAGGACGAAGGAGGTTGTCAGGACTTGCCAGATTCTAAGGACTCGCGGGAGTTTGAGGATTTTCAGGAGGAACAAACCAGCCCGGCTGGGGAGGTTTGTTCCAAACCAGCGGACATCTTAGGGACTGTAGAACTAGACCCAATCGTGACCTTACCAGAGAGTACCGCAGACAACGGTACTGTCTCCAGACAAACTGACCCGGCTGGGCAGGAGTGTGAGACAGCAGACGGAGACCTGACGACAGGAGACAGTACCGAGTTTGACGGTACTAAATTTGAGCAAACCAACCCGGCTGGGGAGGTTTGCTCAAAGTATTTTGCGTGCCAGAGACGAGCCGCAGAAGCATCTGCCCCGGCTGGGGAAGATGTATCTGCGGCCGACCTTGCAGCCAAGGCTTTTGCTGAATTCACAGCAGAAGCCTTGGCTTCAGTGGTCCCAGCTCTTAGTTCATCAACGAGGTCTCTGAAAGGCACCATTACCAGTGCCTTTGAGGTACCAAGTTCCCCAGGTGGGGAACTTGGTACCCCAAGTTCCCCAGCTGGGGAACTTGGTACCTCAGAGGCAAAAAAGAGGTCTTTAAATGGTAGGGTCACGATTTCTTTCGAAATTAACTGTTTACCAGAGGAGGATCTTAATTCGGAAGAGAGGGTCGGCTTAGAAATGACAGATGGAGGGAAGACAGAGGCTGCAGGATCCGGACAAGCGGGCATGGAACGCTACTGTCAGTTCTCCAATGAACTGAACAGTAGCTGGATGAATGCCACTTTCCAGAGCCTCCTGAACCTGGGTGTCACCAGACGGTGTCTTGCCCGGGAACGGTGTGTTTCTGGAGGCTTCATCCATTCCGTGCTGCGCAAGTCTAATCCTTGCAGCCGTCCGCCATCCGGGCAGACATTTTACAGCAACAGACCTCTCCCCAGCTCTGGTAGAGCTGATGGAGAGAAATCTGTTTTTGGACATGTGTAGGGATTACGCTGTAAAATGTTTGCTGGAGTCCTTGTTAATATGGTTGGACTCACTTGGTGGGGAGACAGACAGAGATTGTACTCCAACAATTGCTCTGTCTGTCAAACCAGCTGCCTGGAGCTCCTGAGCGATGGCCCCATGTTGCCCTGCCAGCGGCAACTTTTCCAACTGATTTAGTCACTCTTTTTGACGATTGGTTGGCATTGGGAGGCAGGCGCCATTGCTCAGGCTGCAAGTCTGCCTTGGAGAAGAAGCACCAGTTGGCGGGTAACAACGTTCTGGTGTTTTCTCCCGAGGCGGACCAGGATCCATCCAGTGGCGGCCAACCAGACTATGGATGTGCCCGCACAGTCTGCCTGCGGGACGGAGCGGTTCTGTCTGTCCTCTGTGATCTGTCAGGGTCCATTGTCGACCCAGTTTTTATACGTATTTGATGGGAGAACATCAAATTCTGAAGGCAGAAAAAATGATCATGTCTTCTCTGCAGATGACCTCTGCAGTGAAGACATGAATCAAACGGGAGTTTTGTACGTATACGAAAAGGTAAGGAGACATCAGCTAGTCACTGATGTCTCAAGTTCTCCAGCCCCTCCTCTCCAAGGCGACCAAGGCGCGTTTGGAGAGGAGCCAAACTTAACTGATTTGGATTATGAGGAAATTCCAAAAGATACAATTAGTGACCATTTAGAGGCTGGAGAAATCTGACCGGGTCTTATCTAAATTTATGAACTAAAAAGATTAGACAGGTTTCCTGTTTGCAGGTTTCTCTCCGGGCGCTCCGGCTTCCTGCCACAGTCTGACATTACAAACTGTTAGTTAATTTGGCTCTAAATTCTGTCTAGTGTGATTAAAACATTTATTTTCTGCCTTCATGGTTTGCATGTTCTCCAGTCAGTGGATTCTCTCCGGTTCGGTCCCAAAAGATGACCGTTGGTTTACTTGGCTTTTCTAGTTGACCTTTTCCCCAAGTCTTCTCCCCTCTCATTTGCTTAAAGTAGCTTTGGCCACTAGGATTTTGACTTAAATCAAACTCCTCTTTCAAATGTGTGCCAAGTTTCATAATTCTTGGATAAATCGTGGCTTGTGGATGATTTTTAAGGATATTCTTGGTGTGTGTTGTGGAGGAATTGGGCCACACACACCAAATATTGGACCACATTCCTGTCAGGGGAGGACAAGAATCGATTTCAGTGAGTTTGATGCAGCACGGTTGAAACATGAGTGATAGGTTTGAATTAATAACTTGCATTAACACTAATTGCATTAACTTGCATTAACACTAATCATTGTCCTTATGAACAGTTAGACTGTTTAGTTGTTCTAGAATGTGTGATGTCTCTGGAGGAGCAGGAAGCGTGACAAATTGTAAACATATTTCTCATAAATGTTTTATTTGGAATAACCAAAATATTTGCTTCAAGCATAAATCTATATTTCTTAAGAACTGGGTGGATAATGATATTCTAACTTTAAAACACTTGTTTAATGAGAATGGTCAACTGTTTAATTATGGTGAATTTCTTCATAAATATAACTTCCCTGCAACCTCTAAAGAATTTGCTATTGTTTTCGATGCTATTCCAGCAGGCTTGAAATTTCTCATATCAACCTCAGATAGAGCCCATATTCCATGTCCCAGATTTCCACAGTTATTTATTGGAAAATTCAGACCAGTTCCTTAGTATTAAACCCCAAAATAAACATATTAGAGAAATAATCCAAGGGAATACTATCAGCAAACCTGCTTCAATCTTTTTTTGGAATAATCTTTATTCAGATATTGATTGGGAACAAACATGGCTATTGCCATGAAAATTTGTTGTCTCAAATAAAGTAAGGGAGGAGTCTCTTAAAATTTTACTCAGGTGTTGCCCTGTAAATTCAGTACTGAATAAATATACTCCTAGTATTGATCCCTCGTGTTCTTTTTGTTGCATCAAACAAGAAATTTTAACCCACCTTTTTTGGGAATGCCCTTTTAGTAAAACATTTTGGTGTGACTTCAATATTTTCTTTAGTTGGAAATTGTAATGTATGTATTCCCTTGAATGTTAAACATGTTTTTTTTTGTTTTTCCAATAATAGTTTGTCTGGAAAAGAGTATTTCATAAACTTTCTTATTCTGCTGGCTAAATTTCACATACATGTTTGCAAATTTGCTATAAACAAACCCAACCTCACTGTTTTTAGAGATTATTTAAGATGTTTTTTGGACTCTGTGAAAATGTGCACCAACGCTAAAGTTGTAAAACTTATAACTTTAAGTGAAGAATTTAATCTGTAAACTGTTAACCTAGTACCTCGAGCATACTATTGTCTGTGTCTGTATATTCATTATTCTGTATTCTGTATATTCTTTCTTTGTAAATAAAGTTTGTTTAAAAATAAAATAAAAAATTGTAAACATAGGCCAGCCGCCAGAGAAACTGACCTGGCAGGAGTACCTCAAGGGCTGGGTTAAAATTTATTAGTCTGAAAAGACAAAAAAAAATCAATCTTTTTTGATAACTTTTAATTCTCCATGCCTTAAATCCCTACAAGGACTTTCTTAAACTTTGATGTGAGTAAAAGTTAAAATCAGGTAAAATTTTACATTTGACCCAAAATGGCCGCCATCCTGTGCATCTTAGGGTGGAGGGGGGGGTGGGGGGGGCAATCTGCCTACTCCATCCAAACATTTTCCTCGGGGGGGCAATTTTGGGTCAAGTTTGGTGAGGTTTTGAATGTGATAAAGTGGAGGGCATTGGTTGTTGATGTCGGTCGTGGCCGAGTTTCTGAGAGAGTGATGTTACGTGTAAAGGATCAATACTTAATATTGTCAGTTTTCTTACAGTTCTTCTGTTTTCTCAGATTTGTTAGCGGTTGTTATTAGTTTAGACGTGTCCCAGTTTTGTTGTTGTTTTCTTAAATAGCTAAAATGTTTCTGTTCTCCTTTTACCTCAAAGAAAGGACTTGCTGTTGCCTTTCTGTTTCACATTTGAGAATTTTTAGCTTGCTTTTAAACAAAGCCAGCCTTTCACCATAATAGGCGGCCTATTATTCCATCCAAAGTGACATCCTTCTGCAGCGCTGCAGAGATAACCACAAGCACGAAGTGGGCAGAGTGGTGCTTCACACCTGACTCTGTCCTTGTTGTACTGGATGTTGTGATTTAACTCTGAGCTTTTTGCTGCAGCATTGTGCCTCGTTCAAACACAAGTTTCCTCTTTTATTTATTTATTTATTATGACTTTTAGCACCCTGATTCTGTTTAGCACCCTGATTCCCCTAACTCAGGAGGGGGTTTGCTCCACCAATCCATAAAAAAATTATCCACCTAAATAATTTCGGTTCTTGGTAACTTTACATGTTCAGAAGAACCCGACTTGTCCTCAGCCCCATGGTCCTAATGTGCTTCTACTTTATTTACTTAGTTGTCCCTTAAAAAAGTTGAGCAGGCGTCCAATGCTTCCAGCTTCAATAAGGAATACTAATTTATGTGTGTTGCACAAGGCTCCAGTGTACTTTATCCCACCTCTGGATGTCAGATTACTTCCTGTATTTTAAATGGGTCAGGGGGTCGGGTTGGCAAAACAGTAGCTCATGTTTTAGGGCACCATTTATACATGAACCACCCCAGCAAAAAGTTTTCCATGGAAGAAAATACTCATGTGCTTATTTCACATAATGACATCAAAATCAGTATCCTTTATTTGTTTTGTATTATTTTTAACACGTATTGTGCTTTTTTGTATTTTCGATAGATATTCTCTTTGAAAATTGAATGTAAATACTGTTCATTTATTTGCAGTGAGCAAACTCAGAAAAACATCAGAGGAACACATAATTATCCCCCTGGCTGTATACCTATGATCGACCAGTCAATTGGATTTATGAATCCTTGGGATTCAAAGGTAAGAGATGAAAAGACGAGTTATATTACAGATGAGTAGGAATATGAACAGGTAAGGTTGAATGGCCTCAACAACCTTACCTGCACATATGCTTCCAGGACCGGGTGGGCTCACTACAGACGGTGGGAAGAATGACACGTTTACCAAAACACAGACTTCATGAGAAAACATTCATGCTTCAGTTAGTATTAAAAAAGCGTATAGTTTTCTTTACCTTTTCAAAACTGAATGCGACATTCTCTGAAAACATAAAACAGTGTCAGAAACTTCAGTAATCAACCTGCCAGCAGACATATATTGGTTTCACACAGATTTCCACCTCTATAAAGTAGGCAGAGTACATACTCACCTGTTTGACCAGAGCCTGATGCTCCTCTGACTGGCTAAAATAGCTGCCAATATCCTGCACAGTGACAGTCTCTTCCTGGCACTGGTTCATCCAGCTTTGGTACTCGTCTTGCTCAGGCAGTCGATCCCAGAAGATCTTGAAAGCCTCCCACACGGTTTCCTGGCACACTGGTCACCAGAGAAAGAGGCCATCAGCCGATTAACCAAACCTGCAACATTTCTTCATGGCTCGACCTGCTGGGCTCTTCTGCAATGTCAGAGGGCTGTTCAGTCCATCGCCTGCAGGCCTAAGCTAAATAAATCTCCACTTTCTACTATCAGAGCCAGATAAACAAACAGAAGCTACTCAGGCAGCATTAACGAGTCAAAACAGTCAGTATATTGCTAAAGTCTCAATGAGCCAAATAAAGCAGAAATTCTACATTGTTACCACGTCAGCTGTGAAGTAAACAGGCTGACTGAAATCATTGTTGTTTTCTGGTACAGGATTAACATTTTTGCTATTTTTGTCAAAATAGCACTTTTTGCACAACTTTAAGTCGATAACATGTTGCTTTTCTCAAGGATGTACCTGCACAATCATTTAAATCCGGGGTGAAACTGTAGAGGAGCAAAAAAAAAAAAAAGTGACTACTCCTCCCTTAAAAATTCACCTCACTGCCGTGATGTAAGTTATTATTGATTGAGCCACGTTGAGATTAAAAACAGAGGGCATTTTGTCCATTCAGGTTAAAAGAATATATTGAAATCAGAAAGAAATAATGAAGGTAAAATTGGGTCCAGAGGGAGTGATTTAATTTTCCAATGGACTGATTCATCTGAGGTCATCTAAAAGAACATCAAGCGGGTCTTTAAAAAGAGTTTGATGACTGCAGTGGCACGCCATGACAACAGCTGTTTCTGTTGCTTCGTAAAATTGTTTTGGGGCCTGGATGTACCCGAGTCTTATTTTAATTTTCATCATCGAGCAGAAATCTTAGTAAAGGCTTTAATGGCTTAAAGCATTCCTCCACCATCACAAATCACAACGTGTAATACTCATCTTATTATTGTGGCTAAAATCATTAGAAATTCATAAGCATGCATAAATATCATGCTAGGCTTTATTTTTATCCTCCACTCTATACAGGCTTTTGTGGTTGTAACCGCTGCAAAAGGTTAAATCTTTGGATGCTGCCATAGGTTTAGAGACATAAACAATATACTACTTTTAAATTCCATAATCATTTTCTACATTTTACATTTAATCAATCTGATAAAATAATGTGATTGATCACCTCCTTTGGTAACATTTTGTTTGACAGGCTGTGACTGTCATGACACGGTCATAAACATGAGCACGTCTTCATGAATATTTATGACTGTTGTCATAAAGTGTCATTCGGTAAATCATGAAGTATTAATACAAAGTTGACATTATTCAAAATGTCTTTGTTATGACAACTTGATATTAACCAAGAAATCATGATCTGACATACATTTGTTATAAAAGTATAACCGATTATACTTTAAAAATTATGTAGCTTTATGTTATTAAAGCTAAAGTTAAATCAATACTGATGACGGTTTATGACGGTGTCGTGACCGTCTTATTCACAACCAGTCAGATAAAGTGTTTCACCTTCTTCTAATACTGATGTAACTTTAAAAATGATCTCTGCAGCCAAAAATTGTATAACATTAAATAAGATTCTCTTTCTTAGAAAAAAATAGTTTTTGCATTTTTTTTATGCAACTAGTTACAGTGGATGCTTGCAGTGGTCGTTATATTCCTAACAATCTGCAGCATGCAGCTCTCTCTTAAGTTAAGGATTGAAAGAACCAATTCTCCGCTGTACAAAATCTTTACTTTATTAGACATGTAGCTTCATATTTTCGTATGATTTTTAACTCATCTGCAGCACTGAACACCATTATGTTATGCTTGGGTTTCTCTGATAGTCTGAAAATGTTCAGTCAGCCCCTCAGACTGAAGGGGCTCAGCTGTGGAGCTTTTGAAGAGTGACAATAAAAATTTGAAACCTCCTTGAATATGCAACGGCCTCCATGCTTACTGGCATCCAAGGTAAGGATGTCTAGGAATCCTCAAATTTGATTGTTACAGAGGCCAAGATGCCTCTCTTTGCTCCTCTTTCAGTGATTGTTATCCTCTCATGATGCATGTTGGCCAGAAACTCAGCCTCATAAAGCAATAAAAGTCACGTTTCTGCTTATCTTAGACATATAATTATTGCTTTGAGTTATCCCATGATTTATGGAGATGAAAACATACTGTATTTACATTAGGGTATTGTCAATTGTCCTCCCCCACTTAATGAGGCCTTTATATGCCTTCATAACTGCACCCTATAGTTGTTTCTAGAACCCACTTAAACATATCAAAGCAATCCATATATTACAAAAACCCTAAGTTGCATATATATCATTACTGGCGCCAACTGTTGAAGATGCTTTATCTGTAAAGTTTTGCTCCCGTTTCCTGTAATTTGATATTATCTGGGTAAAATGTGTCACACTGTTTAAAGCAGGGAGGCAAAGCTGCCACCTACTGATATGTGTGCTTCTTTCTGAGGAGCAGATTTTGTGAAGATGGCACAAGTTGAGTGTGCTCTTGTGTTTCGTTTGGGTAAAGTGACCCTGTGAGTGTACCATAGACTTCCCCAAATGTATATCTCATTAGATATAACAGCTCTCGGTATCCGGACAAAGCCCAGCCAACTTACCTCTAAGGTGAAAATAGCCTAAATGGTTTGCAACAACCTCCTCAGCAGTCTCTTGTCCACACAGTCTGAGTCCGCCCTGATAAAAGATATTCCTTTTCCTTCGAGAGGCGACAGCATGGCCGTCAGGAGATGCCGCCTTCACATCAGACACCCGGATGATTTGAGGAAACCCTGCTGGCTCCTGAGAAAAGGGCTTACCCAGGTATCCCATAGAGGAGCCTTCCAGTGTGGCATCTGTACAATCACAGAAGAAAAATAAATATTCAAAACCTTTACCTTCTTTTTTTTTTCCCCCGAGCTGCACGACTATGCAGAAAACATTTGATTTACTACCAATTCCTTGCCTGAGATTCTGCTCAAAATTATGACTGTGAGGCTAAAGAGAGCACAAAAGAAAACACTTCTCCAGGAAGCGCTGCTCATGTTAAATCCGTGATTGGGTTTAAATCCGTGGACTCGGAAAGGGATCAAGAAGACATGTCTTTCCTCTCAAGTGACGACATAGCTGCGTAAGAGTTTGCATAGTTCAAAACTCTCCAAAGCTACAGGAAAACCAATAATGATGAGAAAGCATTTGACAGTAGAGCCTGTCCCTGGTTTGGTTCACTATGCGGCTGAAAGGTGTGCGTGTTTGTGTGTGTGTGTGCTGAGAGTCCAGCCCCTGGCTCAGGTGGACAGGCAGATGGCCTGTAGAGCGAAGGGGATTTTTTAATTCTCTCTAATCCTATTGTTTTTAAGCCTGTTAGAAAAACTCGTCAAGAAGTTACTGGAGCAAAGCTGTGAAGAGAGGACACACAGAAAGGGGGAAAGAGAGAATGAAACGGAAAGCTGCAGGAGGATCTTTGAGAATGAGGTTTGTGTGTGCGGTGCTGTTGTTTCAACAAAGGCTTTTGGAAAAACATCAAATACACTACATTTTAATCTAAATGCATCATAAAACAAATAACGCAAGAAAAATGTTCCTAAATGAAAATAACTAAAATCCCCTCACTTGGGCCCCAACACTTCCTGGAGATTTTATCCTGCTTTTGTAAAACAGGTCAGTCCCCTCTCCCTTTTTTTTTTTAAACCAAATTAGTGATTTAAAATTTTTTCTGGCTTTAGGTCAGTGTTAGTAAAAGTATTGATTATGGTGTCAGGTAAATCAACACTCTTTGCTGCAAGTGTGGCAGCTAAAGACTGACATTTACCCAATGTAGCAAATTATTCAAACTCCATCAGCTGCATTTGTGACGGTGAGCCGTTCACCAAACATGGTCTCTCAAAGTAGGGTGACAATTTTCAACTCAGTTTTGGTCCAACATAAGAGATGCGACATTACACATTCTTGCCGTTCTCCCACAACCGGATTGCTTTGAGCACACAAGTTACAAATCCCTTGAAATCAATGACAAGATTCTCCAGCTTCTCGAGGTAACACAGGTCGCTAGTTGTTCTTGTTCATGTCTACCAGTGACATGGCTTTCCAAGGCAACTGGTTGAGCCAGATTTTATTTAAAGGGTATTAAAAAAAAAAAGTTCAGATCTGAAAGAAAATTCCCCCTCTGCCCAATTTTATGTTAGGCAAAACAAATGTTTTAGTTAAATGGATGGCACAGTCCAGTAGGCGGATCTCCTAGTCAGACGGACTAAATATACCCGAGCATGTAACACTTGGCAGATTATTCCAGCAAGCACTACAACGTAAACACGTTTTGGCTGAAGGAAGTTAAAGAATTCAATTTGTCACAGTACAGTGCATGTAAAAAGAAAAGCTTTCAGAAACTATTGGGGGGTGGAGGGAAAGTTAGCAAAGCTTGGAAAAACTATTAAGCAAAAGAATACTCTTAAATCTGTGGATTCCTTTAAATCTCAGTTAGTTTTGCTCATTTCAAATTAAAAAAGGCCATACAGTCGGATTTAGTTTGTTGAAGAAGCTTTAATGCACAACAGAACTGCAATCAGGGGCTGAGCTAACTGATGTTCATCACACACATTCAACCTAAACAACTAATTCAATTACAGATGTCGAGTTAAAAATATAAATATAAAACAAGAAGCCAGAATGTGGAAAAATAAAAAAATAAAATTAGGAGTCATGCCCTATGACAAATTCAAACAGCAGTAAAGGCAGCAAACTGGGGCTGAAGTGATAAGTTTTAAACATCTAAAAAAAAATCAAACTGAACAAATCTCACTAGGTTGAGATTTTAATGCTTTTAACAATGTTTTACCGTAAGAGAACAAGTTCAACTTCACCAAGTCGTCAATTCTAAAATCTGTACCAAAATATAAATTTTTGACCCTACTGTACAGATAGTGAAGCCAAGCGGTAACTGGGTATAATTTATGTCGACGGCATCATTTCACGTGGGACCAGTCCTGGTTTTCCTGTAGACTTGTGCACAGAATAAATGTTTTGCTTCACAGCACAGACCTGATCGTTTCCTTCCTTGTTACGATCTAGAGGTTTAAATCTTGGTAAACGGATGGATAAACCATCACAATAATCAGATCATCTTTAACTCGACAAACCCACAACATGTAAGGTAACAATGGTCAACGAACCAGATGAACTAATTCCAACTGCTCAATTTAACATCACCCTGTTTAATTGAGCAGTTCAAAACCAAAATTTAAACGCAGCTTTTGTTTAATTCTTCGATACATTCGAAAAAAAAAAAAAGGAGTCAGCAACCTGTCAGGGTTGGCAAATCTTTAGGCCTTAATTGGTTGGATGAACACACATTTTTGATTTACTTACCAAATATTTGAGTTACAGTTATTGGTTTGGTTAAAGACATGGGCTGAAATAATCATGTTCAGAGGAACTTGTTCCAGTTTACACTGAAATAAAATGTCTTTTGCTCATTATGAGCAATACTCCATAATGGCTTCAGTCATTATAGAACAGCAGAAGTAGCAGTAGAGATACTTCATGTGTTTTTACTGTCCAGGCTTTGGTGCCGGTAAATGTTAAGGATCAGATTTCGGATTTCATCCCGTTTCTTCCGAACCACTTGGCGGGAGAACCATTTTTGCAGCTGTAGAGGTAAATCAAAATGCACCACAGGGTCCTGCAGAACAACAAATCATTTTATGAGCTCACCTTAACAAAGCAAAACAAAGAGCATGACATATACTCCTCAAAGCATATCAGATTATCCAATAAAATTAAGGGCCATAAACATAAGCTTTGTACCTTTAAAAAACACTCAACATATTGAAGGAGGTAAAGGCCACAGTCACTGCTGTTATCCTGAAGTGGAACTTGACAATGTGAGCTTTTCATCTGATCTAAACCAAACTCCCTTGATGATCCACGACGAACCTCCCATTCTGACTGCAAATACCTGGAGAGAGCACACACACAAATCAGCAACCAAACCTCCTGGCAAATAGACCTGATAATTGTTTATTGCAGCAATGTAAATCCACACAGGACTTTTTCCTAACCCTAAACTTTGATTTTAGAAGATTTACACAGTAGGACAGAAAAACATGCTCAGAAGTAGTTGCAGCGAAATCTACTGGGGAGAAAGAACATCTTTAGTTTCAATTTCTCTAGATCAGAGACTCCCCACACATCCCTGAGACAAATGAATGAATGGCTCATTCAGATCTCTGCAGAGCTGGATCACATGCTGATGAAGAAGTTCAGCCATTTTATTCAGACTTGTGCCCAGATGGTTACAAACAAAAGTAAGTTTCATGCCAGGTGAAGCACTTCTGTGCCGATCTGATAAAAGACCCTGTCAAGGACCCGTTATTTAGCATTTTAACAAACTTGACCAGATTTGTTTAAACTGCCTGAGGGTTTAAAACAGTTGCCCAAAGATTTGCTGGTGCCCGGCAGTGAAGAGGAACAAGTCCACACATCACAGAACCTACACCATAGTGACAGAAATTTTTTTGACTTGCATTGGGTGCCTTTGGTGTTTTTAATCAAAAACTTTGATTTTAGTCTTATTAAAGTGTCAGTGTTTGGCCAAGTTCACCTCTTCATGTCGAATTGTAGAACAGAAAAGCTTCCCCTCCCTCACCCATCTACTCACAAAAACCTTCACTGTAGGTTTAAAGTGTCGAACTTACTCCCGTAAGAGCTTGCAGATCCGCTCATGGGAAGAAAGCTTGAGAGAATCCATGATAAGAATGCAAGGCCTGCAGGAGAAAGACGTACAAATCTCTGATCACAGTTCTCAGCTTTTTACTGTGCTTCTTCTTATATATAGCAATATACCAAAGAACTAAATCAAAGTCAACCTGTTCAATAAATCCAAAACAAGCTACTTTTTTTTAGACCTTTTCTTTATGAAAAATGCTTCCATTGTCCTAATCAGTAGCTAATGCTAACATAGCTACAAAAGTGTTTAGTACAATATGACATCGGTAACAAAATGCTAAATATTTAATGCAAACAAAACGAGGTTGACATTTATATGAAAAGTGAAAGACACAAAAGGCCTTCACAGAAAGACCACACTTTCACATTATAAGAGTAACGTGTTTACATTTATAAACGCATTATAGTTTATAAGTGTATGATAAATTGCTCTGAGGTTTGCATATCAAGGTATTGCTGAGGTAGCTGATAAACTCACCTTCTGCAAACGGTCCGTCTCAGACATGTATGTTCTGTGCAACTCTACACAGGAAAAAAATAAATAGAGAATATTGGGTAAATTGTGAAAAATATATATATTTTTTTAGAAATTAGAAAACATTTCTGTTGAGCACAATAAAATTAGTTCTTACAACTGGACAAGGAGATGGTGGGTCTTTGGTTACTTCATCCTGACTGTTTTCTAAAAACAAAACAAAAACAAACAAAAAAAAATCAATCTGGCTTCAGAAGGTGATCACTGCCTCATTATTATACTGATCCAATTACAGGTATGCCTGCCTACCTGTCTCTGTTTCCATGTCACTGGGGTCCAATCTCACCAGGATTTCTGAATGATCATTTGAGCTTTTACATTGTTGGGCCTCATCTTGACCCTCCGTCTCGCCCACCCAGTCCACCAGCAGAGGCTCTTCCAGCCCAGGAAAGCAAACAACAACTAAATACCAGTGAGCTCTGGACAGAGAAAAAAGTAAAGCTGCTTTACACAAATGGATGTAAAACACATGTCTTCATGAGTTATGTGCTTACTCTTGATTAACAGGAACAAACAGGAAGTCCTTGTCAAAGATGTCCACATGTCGGGTCCACGTTTTCACTCGCTGGTGCCGCCTCTGCCTCTGACAACTGAGTCTATATTAAACAAAAGTAATAAAACAGTTCTTATTTATAACAGCTTTATAAAACAAAAAGTTTATACAGCAAAACCATGCCATATTAAAGCAGGCGTTTGTTTCAACGCCTGCTTTAAAGCTATAGCAGGGGTTGAAACAAAGACATCTGTTATTGCAGCAGCATAATCTTAAATTCAATTATGTATAGAAAACACCAACCTCTCTTGAATAAATGTACTTCGTAGTGAATATTAATTACTTACTGGTAAAGGTTTGAACATCTTTGTGTCCATCACTTGGTTTTTTCATACAGTTGGAGACTACAGAGTGCCATTCCTCTAGACAATCTCTGCAGATCATCCAGAAGCAACTCTTACATCCATCAGATAACCTCAAAGACTTTCTATTGCGTTTAGG